AAAAATAAGGTATAAACAGAAAATATATTAAATAATTGTTGGACAATCCATTTTATAATATATATAAATTATATAGAACATTAACATGGCAGTTTTCAATCTGAAAGTAAAAAAGTGTGGGATTGACGCTCTTTCTCTCCCAATAGACTTTGCTCAACGCCCATTAGATGGCATGCCACTCATTGGTATAAAATCAAATGACTCAGTCTTTCTTCCTCTTTTTTCACTCTCTGGCCCATAGAATGTGGTAGGTACAAAATGTTGCCCAGTCTTGCTATTAATTTTAACCCATATATGTGTACATACATATATATATATATATATATATATATATATATATATATATATATATAGTTTTCTAGTATTATAAAAATTTTCTGCTTGGTGGGGCATAATGGAGTGTAAAATTATTCATAGTATCTTTAGTACTTTAGTTCACTTCTTTAGCCATTTTCAAGGGATTTGTTGTTAACTTATTTTCATGGTTGTTTTTTAAGATGTAGTTGTGTGGTGCAATATTGTTTATTCTGACCCATGTGATAGGAATGTGGCTGGAATTAGAGTTGGCGTCCTTCTATTTAAAAAAAAACAAACTTTTAATACCTTATTTCCGTTGTTAAATAAAGTGAGATTAGTACTGTGTGCCAGATGTTTTATGTAGAGTACATATACAACAACAAAATTGTCAAAATCGTTTAACAGCATGGGATAATTGTCCATTACTCAAAATGTTTGATATCTAAAAAACCACTAAACCAATTGAGTTTCTTTATTTCAGGTTTTCAGGTAAGACAGCCATCTTAACACCATTTGTCATAAGAATCACTGAAAAACCTTTTGAGTTATTCAGCTAAAACGAGAACAGGTTAAAATCATTTTGTGTCAGACCCACTCTCTTCTCAACTGAGCAATGGTGAGAGAAAAAAGATCATTTATACTCTGGTTTCCGTCTTCAAAGTCTATTCAAGAACCATCAAGAGAACGGTGAATAAGTTTAAAAAAGAGGGAACAGTAGAGAGGAAAACTGGATCAGGAGGTCACAGCAGGAAGAGGGACCATCATTTCAACTTAGAGCTAAACAGATTATTGTTTGAAGTAGAATCCAATAGGGTTATAAAAACCTCTGAGAATTCCAGTAAGATATCTTTAATCATTTGTAAGACACAATGGTTCTAAGCTTAATCTAACAATTGGACAATTTTGCTGTTACATGATTTGGATAATTTTGCTATTACAC